TAAACATTCTTTATTAAGACATCATTTATTACACAAAAAGACATGTTTTGGTGAGATTTATTTATTTTCTGCATTGCTCACACAAAACACAATTGTATTGTGCTTGCAGGGCCGTGCCAACCGATACATCTTTGGGAGAGTGAATACAGAACTTTGGGCCCCTTTGCCTTTTGGGTCCCGAAAATTATTCGCAAAATTTTGGCGAGGGGGTAATTGTTTCTTCCCCCAAACCGTTGTTTGCAAGAAAGGTTAATTAAATTTTTTTTCAGCGTAACCTTTATAGAATTGGCCACAATTTTGCACAACATTCCCAAAAAATTCACATGTTTGGCAATTCCAGCATTTCGGCATTTTATTATTATTTATATCAACTTCTTTTTTTATGGAGGGTAACAGTAAAAACTGACAAACCAGTGGCCCTACAAAAATTGGGGGACACATTTCAAAAGATTGGACCTGGGGATGTTAGACCCCCCAGTCAATCCAGCCCTGTGTGCTTGAAATAAATTATCATTATTTCACAGATAAATAGATACCCTCCCTCCTTTACCCTACATTACCACCAGGGGTTTTCACTATTTTGTTTATACCTTCTTAATAGAATAATTATAATTCAGCAAGAAAAAGTTTTACAAACTATATATACAACCATACAAGTTATAATTATAACTGCAAGCAGTCATGTTGTATTTAAAAACACCACTGACAATAACATGATTCTCTGTTTATCACAGTCTGATAGCAATGATAAAATGAAGTTATATCTTTCCAGTTCAGGGCAGGAATTCTGGCCAGGTCCCTTACTTTTGTAAGTTGGACAATATTTAATTTTAACATATGGTGCACCACTACATGTCTGATGTCTACAACACCACTCTTGCTATTTGAACATTGACCTTGGGTGGCTTTCTTTTTTACATTTCAGTACAGCGCCTAGATAAGAAAAATCCGGCATATTTACAATTTTACAGTAGCAAATGGCATGTATTGAGTCATTCCAGCTAAATCGAAGATCGATATTAACCTAAATATGTTGAGTGGCAGCACCTTCCCTTTGACGAGTAAAATTGTCCAGCGTTAGACAGAGTAAAATAATAATGTAGGGTGCATCTGGGCACATTGCCACTTAAAGGGTTAATAATACAATGTGGGTAGTGCTACAAATCATAAAACTCATGTTTAACCCAGTAAGTCGCATTGTGTCCTGATGCACCCTACTTTATTATTTCACTCTGTCAAACACCAGGTTATTTTACTCGTCAAGGGGAGAGTGCTGGCCCTCAATGGATTAATCAGGCTATCTGCTCATATGTCTATAGTTAAACATTCTGGCCCTCAATGGGTTAAATAATATAAACTGCTTCATGCTGAACTTTTGGAGAGTGCTGGAAAGGTTGGCTGTGCACTCACACCCTACATGTCCTGCATAAAATACAAAGCTACACAGTAGATAGCTGCTATTTCAAAAACCTGGCAAAACTACCACTTAAAAATAAAAAACCTAAAACAATAAAAAATTTTAAAAACAAAACACAAACCGAAGCACCAAGAAACCCAAGAAATGAGTTTAATAAAACAAGACAGGAAAGAGTTTGTCCAGGAAAACTTGCTTAAAACTACAATGTCAATGTATAGAAGTGAAAAACTGCTGTAACTAGTAATACTCGTAGTTTTAATATAGCATCAGGTTTTGAGATATCCACGAGTGTTAAAAATATATGGCAACGTTGCCAAGCGAGAAAGTAAAAAAATCGTGAATTTTACCGGTAATATTCTCCTTTTAGAGCCATATAAACAGGCACAGCAAAAATGCACCGTCTTCCCTGACTTTGTAAAAACGACAAAATTGATGAAAAATATCAAGAATTTCAGTTCAAAGACAAACTAAACCAAAATATTTCATATTTGCGGAAAAAAACCAGGGGGGTGAGAGATATTGTTTAAAGTGTAGGATCGCGGTTGGTCAGTGGTAATTATCATGAGAAATATGAACCAGTAGTCATGGCAATGGCGTAAGATCCGCCATGTTTTTGGCTTCACTTGAATGACTGGCGGAAAGATAGGAGCAGCTCCTCCAGTTATATTATAGCTCAGTGATCAGTGCACTGATGCGAGCGCACGCAATCTGCATGCGATGCATCGCTCAGCGGCCAAATCTAACGTGACGTAGGCACAAATCTCTTCTGTGACGCAGGGCTCTAAAACAATAGATTTGATGATGTCACGTTAGATTTCACGCGGAAAAGGACTCGGGACCGATGCATTCACTGATGCAAAATGGATGCCAATCGAATCTAACGTGACGTAGGTGATGCATTTTGTTTCAACTGTGACGTCAAGGATGCAGTAAAAAAATAACATATTTTGTCGCGAAAATATTGACGCTTTTAAAAGTCCCGTTTACACGGCACGTATACACGACTGTAGCTGCAATATTTTGCAATGGCACGCACGGCACGGCAAAATTTGTTACGGCCAAAGTTAAATTTAGACACGGCATGTTAAGTCTTAATACTGTGGGACATTTAACTTATCTAATTCCAATACGTAAGAGTTAATTACCGAGAACCGAGGCATTTAGTCAAATGCAGGCCGAGGCGCGCAGCGCCGAGGCCTGTATTTGACTAAATGCCGAGGTTCGAGGTAATTAACTGACTTATTACATGATTGAGAAGGTTTATTCACAAAACAGCTCTTACGCTTGTGGGACGTAACACAAGGCTGAGTATGCGCACTATATACGCTTTAAAATCTGGTCAAGCATGCGCAGTATATCATTTCACGTCCCACAAGCGAAAGAGCAGATGTTACTGTATAAATTCCCTGCACAAGCAAGTTTGATGGTTGATCCAGCTAGTCCTCGTGCGCCGAATGATCAATATTCCACATTTAAACAATGGATGAACGAAGAATTGGTGCAGAAGAACGAGGAATGGATATAGAAGAGGGTGAGGAAAACGGAAGTGTTGGTGATAAAGTAAGGAAGGTTGGAGATGAAGTAAGGAAGGTTGGAGACGAAGAAGGAGTGCCTGGCAGCGAAGAGCGAAACCCTGGCGGTGAAGGGAGCAGTCCTGGTGGCGAAATGCAAAATCCCGGCGGTGACGACAACGCAGCGGAGGGTGGCGAACAGAGCCAAGAAATTGTGATTGAAAGAGCGGGAGAAGAAATGCAAACGGCTGGAAAATCGTGGGCAGATATTGTTGGTTCGCAGAATTTAAGTCAAGGAGTTGTTCCGTTACCACATGCTCGGTTTGGTGCTAGGGTTGCTAGACCCAACTCTGTTGTGTTTCATACCCAAGCGTTTAAGGATATTACCGTGCGTGAGGTCATGGATGCAGTGTTAAAATGTGTGAGACAAGATACAATTAAATGTATGCAACAAGTTCCTGGACCTCGGTATCGTTTGACTTTTCGCTCGTTGGAATATAAACAATTATTTTTAGATCAACCGTTTTATTTGCGGGGTGAACGAGTTATTGCTCAAGAGCTTGATATGGCCACGTTACAAGTGAAAGTTTTGTATGCCCCTAGTGAAATTTCTAATCAAGCGATAGCTGCAACGTTGGCGAAGTATGGCAAAATAGTGAAGGTGGATCGGGAAATGTATCGTGATTGGCCTAATGTCGAAACTGGGGTTCGACTGGCAACAATGAGTGAATTAACTGAGGGGATTCCCCGTCGTCTCTTTATTGGCCCTTATCCGATAGAAACTAGATATCGTGGGCAAGTGCCTTTATGTGGTCGATGTGGCGAATATGGTCATCGAGTTGCTACATGTTCGAATGATGTAAAGTGTTTCAAGTGTGGTCAAAATGGTCACATACAACGTCAATGTTTCAAGTGTTTTCTATGTGGACAGTTTGGGCATGTCAGGGCAAATTGTCTCGAGAATCGACGTGACGTGTCCAATGACAGCGATGATGAAACGTCGGAAAGTAATTTGAGTAACGATATTGGTCGTGATGAAGACCGTAGCGTAGACTCTCGGTCGAATGATGAAGATATGGACCCTGTGGACTCGACAAGTTGTAAGGATCCAGGTGACATCAGAGATGAAGTCATGAACAAGATATATAATGATGTCAGCCAATCTTACTCAGCAGAACAAGGATCTGTTCAAACCGTCGAGAACAACAAAAGAAAAGCAGAAGAGGACGTTTCCATACCTGACGAAGGTGTTAAGGTTCCTGGAGACTCCACTGACCAACGTGTCAGTGACATGGGCAGCTCACCTGAAGAACGGACAAAAAAGACCAATAAGGAGAAAAAGAAGAAGAGGAAAAAACATAATAAACCTTAAGGGACAATGGCGGAAATTAGTGTGGTATCTTTAAATGTTAATGGGCTTAGAGACCATCGGAAACGTCGTCTGCTGTTTGATTTTTTAAAGTATGAAAAATTTGATGTAATATTTCTTCAAGAAACGCATATTGCAACCGTTGACGATTGTGTAAAATGGAACAAGGCGTCGGGTCTGAAAGGGTATTGGAGTCTTGGCTTGTCAAATAGTTGTGGTATTGGTATATTACTCCGTGATCCCGACAGATTCCAACACTGTACTTTTCGTTGTGATGCTGCTGGACGTATCATTTCTTTGGACTGTACATTCAATAGTCAGGACTTGAGGTTTATTAATATATATGCCCCTACTGACGGGTCCAAGCGCATAGAATTTTTTTCAAAGTCTTGATAAACATTTTGTCTCTCGTAGACGGTTAATTATTGGAGGTGATTTTAATTGCATGTTAGATTTGGCGAACGATAAATATGGCGGAAATCCTGTCTCAGGAGATACTGGTGCTTTATATCTCAAGAAACTAATACAGAGATTTGATTTAGTTGACGTTTGGCGTAAACTAAATCCAACTGATCGTCAATTTACGTGGCAAACTAAACGTGGTAACATTAAATGTCGTTTGGACAGATTTTATTTTTCTTCATCGCTTGTAAGGGATTATGACATCGAAACAGACATAATGATCTATCCCTATTCGGATCATGATCTTGTTCGGGTATTGTTAACAGTTGACAAAGCTACTAGTAATGTTGGTCCCGGTGTGTGGAAGCTAAATGTCTCATTATTACAAGTGCAAGAAGTTCGTGAGCAAATTGCTTCATTTTGGGAACATTGGAAAGACAGGAAAAATGATTTTGGTAATGTAGCAGAATGGTGGGATTATGGCAAGTTACGAGTTAAATCTCTTTTTCTCAAATATAGTCACAAAGCATCTCGAAAGCGCAAGCAAGAACGTGCGACCGTACTTAATCGCTATCGTCGTATTGTGTGTAAAACCAATTTATCGGAGGACGAAGTTAAGGAACTCGACTTAGTGAAGTCCCAATTGGAAACTATGGATTTAAAACGTATTCAAGGAAACAAGATTCGAAGTGGAGCAAAATGGCTTGAATCAAACGAACAGCCATCACGCTTTTTCTTCCAAAAGGAGAAAAGAAGAGCGGTTAAGAAAACGTGTCCTGCTCTGCGCACGAGTGATGGGCGGAGATTGACTGAGCAAGATGATATCTCAAAGGAACAAGTTAGTTTTTATAAAGAACTTTATTCAGAAATGCCGACAGATAAAGTTGCCCAAGATCGGTTACTCAATTTACTGGACAGAAAACTAACAAATGAGCAACGCGATTCATGCGAGGGACAGTTAACGGTGGATGAATGTTTGGTAGCAGTAAAGTCTATGGCAAATGGCAAAACCCCTGGTTCCGACGGTCTACCGAAAGAATTTTATTTGTCCTTTTGGGACCTGCTTAAAGAAGACTTTGTTGAAATGGCAAATTATTGTTTTTCAGTTGAACTGATGCCTGAGTCTATGCGCCAAGCATTAATATCACTGTTGTTTAAGAAAGAAGATCCTGAATTATTGAAAAACTGGCGCCCAATTTCGCTCCTCAATACAGATTACAAGATTATTACAAAAGTTCTGGTAAATCGTGTTAAACCTGTTATGCCCATAATAATACACCCGGATCAATGCTGTTCTGTCCCTGGTCGTTCGAGTGAAGACAATGCGACTCTCCTACGAGACGTATGTGACTATCTGGAAGTTAATGAAAGAATGGCCTGTGCCTTTATATCGATAGATCAAGAAAAAGCGTTTGATTATGTTGACTGGGGCTTTTTAGACAGAATTTTAGATACCATGAACTTTGGTCCACAATTTCGATCATACATTAAATGTATTTATCATGATATTCAGAGTGCTATAATCTCCAATGGTTATGTTTCAGAATTTTTTCAAGTGCAACGAGGTGTACGACAAGGGTGCCCGCTATCTCCATTGTTGTTTGTCATAGTGGCGGAAGTGTTTGGACAAGCGATTCGGAAGTGCCCAGAAATACAGGGATTGCGTGTGCCCGGAGGGAAGGAAGTGAAAATATCACAATATGCTGATGATAACACCTGCATTGTTACCAATTCATATGGCCTTGTTAAAGTCATCGATGTCTTTAATGAATATGGTCGAGCATCCGGAGCGAGGCTTAATACAACGAAATCAAAGGGTCTTTGGCTCGGTAGGTGGCGATCTCGTACTGATTCACCCTGTGGTCTAACGCGGGTTAACACAAGCTTAAAAATTGTTGGTATGCAAATATCCAGTCATGGGCAGAGGTTACGGCCAAATTCAAGGGAATATTGAAGAAATGGGAACCACGGTATCTAACGTTACGGGGGAAAATGACGGTGATCGGGAGTCTGGTGGCTTCGACGCTTTGGCATGTGGTAAAGATATACCCGCTAACGCGTGAATGTATTGACTCGCTACAATCAGAAATTTGGAAATTCGTTTGGTCAAAGAAACCGGAGTGGGTGCGTCGGGAAACGTGTATGTCAGACTATCTGAATGGGGGTCTGCGAATTATTAATCTTGACATCAAAAGCAAAGCATTGTTGATTGGTCGTGTTTTCCGATTTTTTGAGGAGAGTGAGACACCTTGGAAAGATTTCATGCGTTATTATATCGGACGGTCTTTAGGCATAAACGATAACTCGAGACCAAATAGCGACATTCCAACTCCGTTTTATAGTCATCTTCTTCGTGTTCTGAGAGAATTTGCTGTTGATTTGGGACAACCTAGCACGAGTAAAATGTATTATTTAAAACGTATTGAAGATTGTGTTACCCCGGTACAAGCAAGAAGCGAGTTAGCTTGGAATCAAAGATTTGGTCCTGGTTTAATCTGGAAAGAGATTTGGACAGATGTCGCTCGAAGTTTCAATGATCCAGTGTTACGTGATTTTGATTGGCGCGCGTTACATCGGGTTTTGCCTGTCAATTTCAGAGTGCATAAATGGTATTCAAGAATATCCTCAGCATGTGCACGGTGTGGTGAAAGAATCGAAACATTGGAACACACGTTGATTCATTGTCCGATGGTAAAGGAGCTGTGGATGTTTATTCTGAAACTGTGCAATCAAATTGATGCATCGGTTATTGGTCTGTCAGAACGGAATATGTTGTTGGGTTGTTTCCCGCGAACAAGAACAAGAGACCTTTTGCGTTACTTAATTAGTGTTGGCAAATTTTCCGCGTGGAAAGAGCGCGTGTCATATCAGTTTAGGAAGGATGAGAAAATCAACAGTCTTGTATATTTTAGGAATTATGTGCGAACTCGATTAGAAACAGAACAGGGCATCATGGGCACGAAAAACTTTGAGTCAAAATGGTGTTTAAACAATGTCTTAGCATGTGTCACAAACGGTATAATTCGAACTTTGATCTAACAGTCAATATTTGTGTGACTTAATGTAAATAATTTAATGTAATCTAATGCATGTGAATTGTGTGTCAAATAATTTTGATTCCCCGTAGTGATATACACTATGTGGGGTTTTTAATAAAAAATTACTCTTATCTAATGGTAGAGTTTTGACGGGCTCTGAGGTACACGGCTGTTGTCTCTTTCTCGTTGTGAATGAGGAAAGCTTGTTGGACTATATTTAGCAGTGTTCCAGGTGGGACTGGTGGGTTCTGGGGTGTTTCGGGTGGTTTCCAGGGGTTCTGTGTTTTACAATCACGGCTTAATTTAAATACTGTAAGAGCATGATGCCAAGAAAATGTTGCATGCTTTTGAACATTGGGGAAATTTGAAGACTTTTGAGTACGTACTAGGTTTGGCAAGCATTGATGCTGTCATTGTCAACAATGCTAAACTGTTACTACTAGACATTTTAATAATGGCAATCCCAACAGGCTGTCATACAAAGGGTATAATTAATATATTAAGGCGCAAAAAATTGCACTCCTTGGACTTGTTAGGTGTGCACACAATAATTTTTTGTTTTGAATGCACTGGAGTTCAAAATCCTCAGAGTATTTTAAGAGCCAAGCATAACTGTTGAAATTTGGAAAATCATTGCACAGGCACTGGAAGAGACGTAGAGCGATGCATGTTATTGTGTCACAAATATATAATATTTTCTACAGTTAGACTATTGTGTTGGCCTTTTAGAAAGCCATTTATGCCTCATAATTTTTAATCATATAAAAGACGTATATATATATATATATATATATATATATATATATATATATATATATATATATATATATATATATATATATATATATATATATATATATATATATATATATATATATATATATATCGCATTGCAGCTTAATTGAGGCATGTAATAATTTGTACTTCTTGATAAACTGAGGTGTGTGCCAAGGAGTGTGTGCAATTGCACACCATTCTCACGAGGACCCGCACAGTGTTTTCAATATGAAAATTGGACCCGGCCCCTTTATCCAATTTCTGGCAATAATGATAGATAATAAGACATAAGCTGCATCTCATCTTCAAACTTGATACCTGTTGCCCCTGTGCGACAAATAAACAATTAAGTCCCGGTATTAATTTACTAGCTAATTTATTTGACAGTCTATGCCTCAGACATCAGCAAAACTTAACTTACAGTACTTCTCTTTCCACCATACTTCATATTAATTATCATATATTCTGTGTATGGTATTATTACTACGTTAACTTATTTATTTATTTATTTATGTATGTCATTTTCACCTAGCACCCATATTATTATATTCTGCAATGCGATTTACAGATTTTATTCACTGCAATTTGTTTCGAGTCATTAAATCCTTCTGATTGGTTTATTTTTATCACATGATATCTAATTGTTTTAAATACAATTTTAGACATAATTGAAAGCAGCTCCGGTTAAAAATGGAACTGCAGGCCCTGCAGTTCTGGGGCAGTGCTGAGAGTGCTCTGACCACAAAGCTATACAGAGTCGAGTGCCAATTAACTACAGTATTCTCGTTTTTAAAGAGTAATTAACCTACCCTGGTTCCAGAGGCTCTTCAAGAACGGTGAGGCAAAATAACAATGAGGCAAAAAGGCTTCTGGTCAAATCAGTTGCGAATCTCACTTCCATACTTGATTAGGTTCAGAATCTGAACCTTTGTGTGTGATTTGGCTGTGTGTAAAAACATATGTCAAACCGTTTTGGAAAATATAAAAAATGTATATACATTATTAATTAAAATCATTGCTAAATTGAGCAGTTCAATGTTTGTTTATTTTACACAGCCAATTGCATAGGAAGTTCAGTTCCTGAACCTAATCATGTATGGAAGTGAGATCCGCAAACGGTTTGAGGCTCGTTTCACCAAATTGTTATTTCGCCTTACCATTATTTTCCCTTGCCATTCTTCAAGAGCCTCGGAAACCAGAGTATGAGCAACCCAAGTTTGAGCCACAAGTTGAATTGCTTAGATATCGAGTCACAAGTCAAGTTATTTCATTGTATGATCAAGTTGGGTCTTTTCAATTGCTACAATCAAGTTGAGTCGAATCTAATAGGCTCCACTCAAGTTGAGTCACTAGCTGAACTTGAATTGAGTCAGGGGATTTGATCAAGTCCAACACCACACTTTCTGTAATACAGTACAGTAGACTCAGGTACCCTGCTTGCAATCTGGGAAAATAGTAATCAATAAAATCCACAGCAATGTCTAGGCAGGAAGCTGGTCCCAATATTGCCGCTCTACTCTGAAATCATATGTTCCAACTGGAACCAGAAATCAGACAATTGATATCATGAAGAATTTTTATTTTTTCATTTCAAGTTCCTTTACCCATTAAGTGGCAGTCCCGCTAAGAGCGGTCCGATGACTTTGACTTCGGAAAATAGATTTCCTTTATTTTTTGTGTGTTGAAAGGCATTGGTATACAAGTGTCCAAAATAAATTTATTTTTTGAAAATTCTTTTTTATGGCTTCGCTAGACGCCGAAACTCATTTTACCCGTGCAGAGCTAATTTCAAGCAAAATCGAAGGTTGAATTTCGGTAAATTGTAGAGCCGCGCTGTGTCAAAACGCCTGACTATTTCCAAATTTCAACTAGATCAACAAGTTAAGATACAATTCAGGTTCCCTGTTCCAAAAAATAAGAGCATTTGAATAAATTGTGAATAAACGACAGCGACTTGACGGCACACCGGTTTTTGCTTCTTGTTCGGTCTACAAAATTACACTAAAATCGAAGCCTGAGATCTCCAAATGGGGACCTAAAATTACGCTGAAATGTGCTTGGCTGTAATGATTTATACTTATTTTCAGAAGATCTGAAGAAAAACCTGCGGGTATCGATCTGTATTTGGCGCGAGTTAAGATTTTCTGGAGCCCATAATCAATGATTTTTGCATAATTTATAGCTAATTAACATATTTCTTGAGAGGCGCTAAAAGTAAACAATTTCTTTCTGACTAACATATCTCAGATGAAAGAAACTACCACAGCTAGTAAAACCCTTTTTGTAAATATAGTCGTAATGTTCTTTTCCTGACACGCTGAGAGAGCTTTGATTTTGAATGTTATGCCACATTTATTCAGTCTGACCAGATTCAAGTCACGAACTTGTATATTTCAAAAATATCAGTACCACAAATCAGAATTCAGAAAGACCGATTATTCTTTCCTTGATTCAGTTGATGGATTTAGTTGATTGATTTATTAAAAAACTATAAGTATAATAGAACATTCCATGTGTTTCCATTGCCCCTATATAGGGCTAGAATTTTTATCAATATGTTCTATTTTTCTGTGGCGACGGCATATTAACAAAATACGACACAAAAATGTACATTCGAATTTATGACCGACATATCAGAATGTTATTTATGAAGTTTGAATTGAATTTACTTAACCCGAAATAAATACTAAAATAGGAATTTTCTATGCCGCGTTAGTAAAAGAAAAAGCATAATTTTAATTGTATGTAATTTCGATGAATACTATTAAAAAAATATACGCATTGTTTATATAAATTAGCTAACATTTACACATTTATTGCGATAGTAGCGACGTTTGTTTTAGCCATGTAACAAAATAAACTATAAGCATTCTGATCAGTTATTTAACAAAAATATCAAACTTGTGTCTTGTGAATTTTAATTCACAAACTTTTGAAATTTATTCTCAGCTATGGAGCTCACGAATATATTTTTTTTCAAAGAAAAATATTGAAATTCGATTATTTATAAAATTGATACTTCTGTTAAAAATGTTAGCTAATTTATATAAACAATGCG